GCATTATATTCTAAGGAAGCAAGAGCAAAAATCCTAAGGTGAAAGAATGGAAGATGAAAAAAGATTATTGATAAAGAATCGGAGTAAAGAAGGATCCACAAATACTAGAAAAACTAGGTAAAAAATAGTTCGGGTGATAAAATGTTAAGCGCAGCAAGCAAAAGCTCGAACCTCGGCTGCAAACAATTGGAAGCGTTGCTGAAAATCAGCACGTTCGTCACGAAGTGGACGGCGATGTTGAAAAAAGCAATTGCTTCCTAAAGCATTTCCCAGTGTCGTTGAGCTCGAATGAGCCGAGGAAGATAAGTTAGGTGCGATGAGATGCTCAAAAGCTGAGCGAAGGCGACTCTGCGTCTCTGGATGTGAGGCGCAGCGGCTGATCCATTGTTCAACTAGGCGAGAGAAAGACTCCTGAAGATAATATATAAAAGAAAAGTATATGATTAAATTAGCATAGAGATTCTTAACGTAATCAATCATAACAGATAATTGTGAATTATATCAAGCCTGACTTAATAATAGTCAAAGCTTATGAATGACAAAGAACCAGGTGTTATATGAAGTAAAATGCAAATAATTGTTATTAGTTGCTTCCAAGGGCCTTTACTCTGCTTTCCAAGAATAAAAGGTCAAGCGCAAAACAGTGAAATGAGGTCACTTTCAAGGTTCGCACACCCGAACTAGGAGGCCATTATTTGAAAAATAAAAATTATTAGAGTAAGCTATTTAGGTCGAATATAAATTCATTATGGGATATAGTAAGAAATACATCCTCCTGAGAAGCATATATATATATATATATAAACGGCTTAGCAGAGAGAGAAAGAGTGCATGATCAATGCTCGGACTTACTGGGCTAAGATGGATAAGGCTGAGGAGGACAGAGGACAGAGGGTTTTCCAACTCCATAGAATACGGCTGTTTCGTTACCAAACTGAAAAGTTCTTCTAATAGACAAGGTTGTCCCGGCCCAGGAACTTGGCCGCCCCCTTGAGATGTCTCAAGGGCACCTAAGGCACGTACAAGGCGCCTGGCCAAAGCCAATCGGGAAGCACCACCTCGAACACATGCTGATTGACCAGTATCGGACTCAAAGCAAGAATAGATGTCGCTGGTAAATACAGCACTTGCTGCCGTGGTTTCAGCTGTGGAGGCCGCGCTAGCTTCAGTGCAATAATCCACAAGCTGAACTAGAGTTTCGAGGCACATAACACCCACGTGCGAGTCACCACATACTGCTGAACCAGATGGCTTCGATGAACAAGAACCAATAGGCGTCGTACGCATCCTGCCAGATCCCTGATCGCCGGAGATGGATGAGACGTATGAAG